GACAAAGATTTGTCCTGACTGTGGGCAAGGCGGAAAACTCTAGCTACACCCCCCCCCCTTCAAACTCTCTCAAAGGATACAGCGCTTACCTGGAGATTTTTATGATTGCAAGAAAGAAATTTCATGAAAAGAGCCAAATGAAATTTGGAACAAAGCAAAGTCTCCATGCCGCAGTGATGGGGCTCTGTTGGAAGCTCGTGGGGAATTGTTTTAGAGCTCAGGGCACACTATTCATCCTGAGGACTCTCAGCTCTATGCTTAGCAACTGTCTTGATGTTTATGAACCATGGGTTAGAACCCAGGAAGTGGGGTCAGCAGGTAAGAGTACTGGTTGCTCTTCCAGAGACCAGCATTCCATCTCGAGCACTCACATGACAGCTTACAACCATCTGTGACTCCAGTCTCGGGATCTGATGCCCTCTTCTGACCTCCACAGGCACCGTGTGCACATGGAAAACACCCACACCCAAGCATGCCCACACACAAAAGAAGCCAGGAAGTCACTTAGCATCCTGGAACTTTTCGGCTGCTTTTGGGGTCACACTGACACAGGACCTGACCTTAGAGATGTCCCTATCCAACTCTCCACAGAAACCTGTCTAAGCTACCACACTTTAGTGACAAGAGCATTCCACCGGGAGAGGGTTTCCAAGGCAACGGGAAAGGTCAAAAGATGTGAGTAGATTGGGAAGTGATGGACGAGGAAAGGACTACCAGGCAGGGGCTCGGGGGCCACTCATCTCTGCATCTTAGATCGCACAGGAGCCAGAAGACAGCTGTCAGTGTATGTTTTGGAGAGAGCTGAGTGTGTCAGCTTTAAGAGATCAGAGAGGGCCCTGACAGTCGTTGAACAGGACAAGTCTCGGGTTTGGGGTCATCTCAGCTCTGCCATTTCTCACTGGGGTACTCCCAATAACAACCCCTCTGAAGTCTCTCCATCTAGAAAATGGAGAGATGTCTTAGGGCTATGTATGTGTGGGAGCGTGGACCCCATCCTAAGCCATGCCCTCTGCTCTGATAGTGCAAGAAGAGCAGGTTCACTGTCAGACTCTGAGCTTTGCGTCCCACACTTACCGGTGTGAAAGGGAACTCTTTCCTACTGAGTGTCTACTCAATGCATTGAGCGCCTTCACTTGCAATACACACTACTTCACTCTGTCTTCTTACACTCTGTCTTCCTTACAGTCTGTCTTCCATGAAGCAGGCATGAATACTGCTCTAAATTTTACATTAACTTTTTGAGACAGGATCTCACTAGGGTACTCAAGGCTGGCCTGGAACTCACTACATATCCCTAACTGGCCACAACATCTCTCTGCCTCAAGCCTCACAAGTGCTGGGATTACAAGTGTGAACCATCATTTAGAGTTAAGAAAGAGTCCATGAGATTAAACAACTTTTCCAGTTCACAAGCTGGTATGATGGAGCCGAGGTCTGCACCAGGCTCTGAACAGAGGCAAAGCTCCACTCCTGCACTTCAAAGGCAATCATCCCCCTTCAGCTCTCAGCTCAGTGCTAGGCACACAGTGAGACTTCAACAGGTCCTGTACGGTTTTACAGAGGTGCAGTCTCTGCCTCTCGAAGTCAGTGGTTCTCAACCCGTGGGTCCTGACCCTTTCACAGGGGTCGCCTAAGACCCACAGATATTTGCGTTATGATTCATAACAGTAGCAAACTTATAGTTATGAAGGAGCCATGAAAAGAATTTTATGGTTGGGGGTCACCACAGCATGAAGAACTGTACTAAAGGGTCACAGCATTAGGAAAGTTGAGAACCACTGCTCTAAATAGACTGGGAGGACTGGTGATGTGCTCAGAGTTAGAGTACTTGTCTGTGATATGCCCAAGGCCCTGGGTTTGACTCTCACAACAAGAATGGATGGCCCTCTTTGCAAGGAATAATTGGCTTTTGTATCCTCGTCCCCTTGCACAAAGACCCTGTAGCAAAGATGATAGTGAATGGATGAATACACGGGAACAGAAAATGAATTAGTATGATTCCTTGGGTTTTTAGACAGCAGACAAATGTGCAGGATATGATATCATCCTGGTCATCAGAAAACGTTTTAGAATTACAGACTGAACACCTTAGAAAAGGCAATCTTTGTAGCTGTAAATGGCATATATCAAGTTATTTTCTTCTCTCTTTTGGTCCTTGCCTCTGCCTTAGTCACAAATCGGGACAGCAATAGGTCATTTTCCCCATTGGTAGATAAAGAGACAGAAAGATTCAGAGACATTCCAGCAGCTAATGATGCTCTTTTCCCATCCAGAAAGCACACAGTCTGCTCCTACACTGTTAGGGACAGAAAACGCTCCATGGACCATTCCAATTTTGCTGTTACCCCTTTCCCAGAGTAGGTTGAGGATCAGGCTCTACTTTCTGGGTGACGCCTTTGGGGACTCAGAGGGATTAAGACCTACCGCCGCTCAACTCCATACTTAGGTTTCAGGATTGTCAGAGCTGGTCCAAGCAACCCTGTCCCTGAACAGCCAGGGGAACCAAAGTGTTTTCAACCAGACCACACCTTATATTAAAATGGCTGGAGCTGGCCTCTGCTGTGACATTATGCCACTGTGTCACACGGGACTTGCAAGAAGCACTGACCACAAGCATAGGGTACATCTCCAGGACACGCCTGGGTGTCCAGTAGAGAAAGTCAGAGGGAAGAAAAAAGCCAAGGCTGGACTGAGATGGGGTTGGCATGCGACATCAGGTGAGGATGAAGGTCTGAGGTCGTGGTTTGGATGTAGGTCTAGACTAGAGTTTCCTGAAGTCAATATGTGAGTAAACAGCTGAGGAGCGTGTTCAGGCAGGTTTGAGGAGGAAGACGGGGCAGGTGACAGGACTGGGGTACTCACAGGGAGTTCATAAAGCTGGGGATGGGGCCTGGAACAGCCCCCAGATGGGTGCATCTGTGTGAGGACTAAGAGTAGAGTTTGAGATTCCTCTGTATGTCCGGGATAGCATTTGCTGTTAGGGCAAGGGTTGGCTTGTGATTTGGGATTGGGTTGAGGGCGATGGAAGAATGAGGTTCACAGTAGGGGCAGAGTGAGCGTTTGGGGTAGGGCTGGTCAGGTTCAAGCATGGTTCCATTCTGGGGTCAGGATGAAGGAAGCCTTGAGGTGGGGTTTCAGGAGTGCGATGGGATAGTGATAAAGTGAGAATAGGGTCAGTATTGGCCATGAGGAGAAGGGATGGTTTGCGGGATGGGCACTTAGGTGAGAAAGCGAAGGCTTAGCAAGAGGCTAGTCTGCGGGTGGGAGAGGGGGTTAAGACAGGAGGAGGGTTCGAGGTGAGGTTAGGGCCAGGGCCTGTACCTGAGCCACCACATGTAGCTGTGCTCGTAGGGGAAGAAGCTGTGCGGGTCGTCGCAGCAGTATTTGTGGTCTCGGAAGCCGCAGCAGAAGACGGCGGCCGCCTCGCCCCCCGGCAGCGGGCAGCTGAAGCCGCGCACCACCTCCTGCTCCGCGCTTACGTAGCTCGAGCAGGCGCCGCTCATCGCGCCTCCTTGGGCCACCAGACGGACGGCAGGCGAGCGAGGGACTGCCGGAGACCCAGCGGAGCCTGGGGAAGAGACGGGGGTCAGGCAGGCAGGGAGGCGCGCAGGCAGAGGCGCGCACAGAAAGGCACACGGCGAAAGGCGCGGAGGCGCGCGGTGAGGACGGGGCGCCCGGGGACCCGGCGGCCAGGTGCGCGGGCGCGGAGGCAGGGGAGCGCGCGCGGGGCCCCAGTCCTAGGCGTGACCTGCCCCTAGCAGCCCAGGCAGCACTCCAGGGCTAGGGAGGCAGGGTGGACAGTTGAGGACCTCGCCTGAGCGAGGTAACACCGTGCCCGGGTGCCAGGACCCTTCTCTGTCTGGGAGGTTGTGTGCTGCGCAGGAGACAGGCAGAGTGAGGTCCTCTGGGATGATGAACACACTGCTCCATTCATTTAACTGGCAAAGCAACCTGAGGACCAGGGATTTTCATTGTATAGACGGCAGCTGAGGATCAGAGACAAGTCATTTATTTCCCCGGGCTCCCGAGCCCATGGGATTTCAACCCTGCTGTCTTGCTGGCTCTCCGCAAACCGTTTTCCAGTGGGCCTCCAGTGGTCCACACTGGCCTTGCCGTCTTGATGACCCTGCCTCCGACTCCCAGATGCTGCGATTCCGGGTGCGTGCCACCACACCCTGCTCATTTCTACCTGTCATTTCCTTTCCTCTCCTGGTCCCTCTTTCACCTGCAATGCTGACCCCCCCCTGCTCCCCCCGCCCGTGTTAACAATCCCTGCTGTTTGGATAAGGACAATAGGGCAATTGTCCCAGGAACAAGCCTTTTCCCTACCTCAATTAGGGGCTGCCAGCCTCCACAACTTGTTCCCAGACTACAAGGGCAATATTTTCATTCCTGTCTGAAGGAGCATCCAGACCCTCGGTTTCCCCAATATACCCGGAGAGGGTAGACAGAAGATCTTTTATCCACTTCCTCAGAGCCTCAGCTGTGTGTTTTCACAGAAGTGGACAGTAGGAAATAGTCGATGTGATGCTTCCCCTTTGCTCTGGGGCGCCCGGGAGGGCGTGTGTGCGTGTGCGTGCGTGCGTGCTTGTGTGTGTGTGTGCTTGTGTGTGTGTGTGTGCGTGCGTGCTTGTGTGTGTGTGTGCTTGTGTGTGTGTGTGTGCGTGCGTGCTTGTGTGTGTGTGTGTGCGTGTGCGCGTGTGCGTGTGTGTGTGTGTGTGCGCGCGTGCGCGTGTGCGTGTGTGTGTGTGTGTGCGCGCGCGCGCGCGTGTGCGTGTGTGTGTGTGTGTGTGTGTGTGTGTGTGTGCGCGTGTATCACGGATCTGAAGGGGGCTGGGTATGTAAGCCCAGCTGACTCCTTCTCTGCTTGCCCCTGTACTTCCTTGCCTTTGTCCTCTAAGGCAGCTCCCTGGAGGCTGTTGGGTCCCAAACCTCTGACCTGAGTACCTGGAAGGCTCATATCTGGGCCTGCCCTTCAGTTCGGTGGAGGAATCAGAGAGGATTCATCATGGAGGAGTCAGTGGAGGAATCAACACAGGACTGGACTGGGCAGGGAAAGGGGGATGCAGGGATTGTAGACATGGAGGAACACTATGTAAGGGAACGGGGAAGGGTTTTGAGAGAGGGATGGCTTCGAGGGTTACTGCGAAGTAAACAAAAAACAATAAACAAGAAAGGAGCCAGCTTTGAGGGGTGGGCACGTGCCAGTAGTCCCAGCTATTCGGCAGGCTGAGGCAGGAGAATTGCTTGAGCCCAGGAGTTTAAGGCCAGCCTGCCAGAGCAGAACTCATCTCAACAATGAACGAACACTTACCTTTGGCATGGAGTTCAGCTGAATGGTAGATCATCTACCCAGCATGCAGGAGGCCCCAGAGTCTATCACCAGTACCTCAAAACCAAGAGGAATTGTTATTATTCCCAGAAAAGCTGCTCCGAGCTGGGATCACGGGAGACTGAAGAAGGAGCACTTTGACCTGGATGTACCGGAAGAGGGGGCTGGGGGAGGGAGAACCCTTTGGGGAGCAGTGAGGCCTCTGTGAGACATGGTCAGCTGGCAAAACTGGGCAGACAGTTCCCCAAACCCTTTTCCAGTCAAGAATTAATTTCTTTCTCCTAACAATCCAGAGAAGGATTCTGCCCTTGAGAGAAACAAGCACAATGTCACACAGCCATCCATCAGGGGCCCAGGTAGGAGTGGTTCCGTGACTGGCCCAGAGTTCCTTTGGATTTTTGGTGAAGCATACGGGCCTCTATTAATAGTGATGTTTTTAACTGCAAAGAAGCAATTATTTAGGGTCATAAAGGCTGCCGGTTGCGTTGAATTGCCATTGAATCCTGCTGTTTAAAATGTCACCGAGATTGCTGAGCTGACGAAGCACTGTAATTTTGAGGTCATTTCTATAGTGACAGAGTTGTAGATTCCACTGCTGTGCTTTTGTTTTGACGCTTATTTGGATTCTAGACGTACTGGAGTCCAGTTGGAGGCTAGTGTTATCAAGGACATACTCCCCCTCCAAGTTCACAGACCTTTCTCACTGCATCCAAAGATTCTGTGCACTTGTGGTCCTGGGTTAAAATCATCTTTCTCTGGTCTACCTCCTTCCTTAATATTTGTTCCTTTGTTACACCCATTATATTTCTTCATAATAATTTTCTGAAGTCATTAATTGCTCACTTATTGTATGCCAGGAAGTATATATTTGTGTGTGTGTGTGTGTGTGTGTGTGTGTGTGTGTAAGCATGCTCATGTGCCATGGTGCACATGGCTTGTTCTATCCTCTCATCATATGGGTCCTCGAGATGAAAGGCATGTTGGTGGCTTTACCCTCTGTTTTAGTTAGGGTTTTTATTGCTGTGAAGAGACACCATAACCATGGCAACTTTTATAATGTAAAAATTTAATTGGGGTAGATTGCTTACAGTTTCAAAGGTTCAGTCCATTATTATTACGGCGGGGAACATGGTGGTATGCAGGAAGATGTAGCATTGGAATAGTAGCTGAGAGTCCTACATCTTGTAGGCAACAGGAAGTCAACTGAGACACTGGGTGGTATCCTGAGCATAGGAAACCTCAAAGCCCACCCCCACAGTGATGTACTTCCTCCAATAATGCCATACCCACAGCAACAAAGCCACACCTCCTAGTAGTTTGGGGGCCAGTTACATTCAAACTACCACACCCTCTGAACCATCTTGCCCGTTGAAAAGATCTTTTAAGTTAGGTGCTTATTTTCCCGTTTTGCAGACAAAGTGGCTGGGATTCGGGAAGGCTACATGACTTTCCTAAAGCCATGTGGCCATCAGGGTTCTGTACCATTTTCCCTCCCAAGCTGAAGTCTTTGGGCCAAAGTCTCTGATTGCCAGAAGGGAAAAGGAGTCTAGGAGAATAGAGAAGAGGATGGGCGGGGATCTCACACCTGCTGAGAACCAACTGTGAACTAACTTGCTTTCCATTGTCCCTTTACTTCTCACAACAACCTGTCCAGTGCCATTTTCTTCATCAAAAAAGAATTAGCCAGTGTAGTGGTGTACACCCATAATGCCAGCACTTAGAAAGCAGCGGTAGGTGGGGTGCAGCAAAGTCCAAGCCAGCTAAAGTTACATAGCAAGACCTTATCTAAAAAAACAAAAACAAAAACAACAAAAAAGCCAGGAGCTGGGGATAAGGTAGTAGGGATGGAACACGTCTTTAATCCCAGCACTTGAGAGGCAGAGATAGGCAGATCTCTGAGTTCAAGCCCAGCCCGGTCTACAGAACGAGTTCCAGAACCATCAGGGCTACACAGAGAAAATCTGTCTTGGAAAACAAAAACACCCCCCCCAACAAAAAACAAACAAACAATAGCAAAAAATGTATGTATATGTTATAAAATAATGCATTTAAAATGTCAATAAACTGGGCAGTGGTGGTGCACGCCTTTAATCTCAGCACTCGGGAGGCAGAGCCCGGTGGATCTCTGTGAGTTCGAGGCCAGCCTGGCCTATCATGTGAGTTCCTGGAAAGGCGCAAAGCTACACAGAGAAACCCTGTCTCGAAAAACAAAACAAAACAAAGCAAAAAACAAAAAAACCCCTACCAGGTC